CGTTTAAGAGCAAATATACGCACAAAAAGCATCCGGTCATTCAATTTAAATTATACAGTTATTACCTACAACTGGCAATTGTTGCTGCTGCTGTTGCATGAGCAAGAGATTTGTTGCATGCACTTAGATATGTATTATGTAGGGTAGATATATACATATGTATGTATGTAGTAAATAATATAGTAGAATTATTAATAATTATGCAATGTTGCATGTTAGTATACAAGAGTCTTGTATATACATATCTACATATTCATATAGAGTAAGTAACATATATTTATGTATGTACGAGTATGTATGTATGTTGTGCCGCACACATCATGTCAACACACTCCAAAGTGGCTGATATCTAGTGTGATAAGCTAAAATTGTTTTACAAATAAAACTATTTGCTTAAGTACATACATATATGCGCAATCTTTTTCTTAGTGATGTTGTAGATATGGTTTAGGCGTATACTTATTTAACTATGAGTACTTAATGATAGGCGTAATGATAAAGTGAGCGATATATGGTATACATATGTAAGTACACACATTCACCTAATGTTGACGTTAGAGCTGACAGTCCCGAATATGAAAATGTAAGAAAATCGGTATCCCGAAATAAATATATTGCAGTCCCGAAATTTCGGGATTGCAAGTTAAAACAAAGCTGATTTTATAGATAGTAGTTAAATTAACATTACTTAAGAAAACATCAAAATTAATTTTCTGTTATATATACATACTACATACATATGTACATATATGTATACTCATAAAATTATTGTTGAACCAGAGTTGACAGTGCCGAAAATGAAAATGTTGAAAAAAGTTCTGATGCAATTGTATATTTCAATCATTTTTATATACATTAGAGCAAATCGAGATCCCGAAATAAATATATGGTAGTCCCGAAATTTCGGGATTGAAAATTTAGGTATTAGTGATAAAAACTGAAGTAGTTAAATTAACAATACTCAAGAAAATATCAAAATTAATTAAATTTTATTTTATTTATACTCATAAAATAAATAAATAAATGTTGAACCAGGGTTGACAGTGCCGAAAATGAAAATGTTCAAAAAAGTAGTATTACAATTTTACATTTCATAACTTTTTAAATACATGTGAGATAGTCGAAGTGCCAAAATAAAAATCTGAAAAGCATAGCAACAACAAAAAATCGTCAAGCTCAAGGCTTTGGATAGCTTGGAGATTTGCTGTCAATAAAACCATGCTATAAATAATTTTTTTTTTTTTGCAAATGTTGATAATTAGCGACATAGTATTTGCACACCCCGTTATATATATAGTACATGTTGATAATTTTTTAATTTTATTTTTCATGCGTAGCGAAGATTTCCATAAAGTTAATTGCTCTCAGAGCACACACATACGAACACACCAACCTCTTAATGTTTCTTTAATTTGATATTTCTTATTATATCTGTGATTAATAAGTTCTACACCTGAGGCTGATAGTCAGTTTCGCGGCGATAGTACGAGTTGCGCTGATAAGATCAACATATGAGCAAATACGATATTTTCAAGTTTTTTTGGTTTTTTTTTGCTTGGCAGTATTGTCGCTTGCGTACGATAAGCGAACCAGATATCTGCTAAGTCGCCATGTGCTTAGTGTTTTAGCACTCTACCCCGATCTGAAGCGAGCCCTAAAGGTGATCCAGCTACAGCGTGATATACACGAGCGAACTGCGTTAAATGATATGATTATGGTTTATGTCTGTAAGAGACTGACTGACTACAGCGTCGATAAGCAAGTAGATTGATAACAGCGCTAGAAATAAACTTAAGAAAACCATTGAAAGTTGCTTTCAAATACTTTAAATACATATTCCCGAAGCTAAAAAGTAGAACATATGTACGATCTTCGACTTTAGGAAGATGATGGCAAGAGTTATTTTTAAAAACGAACACACATAGATGGAAGATAAATCCTACCCCCTCGCCTTCGAATCTTTTCTTGCCAACTGAGACTAAAACACAATATATAGACCGGTATAATGTCCGAAGAAATGGTTTAGATCGGACTAATATAGCATATAGCTACCATAGGAACTGATCGGTCAAAATACAGTCGTTGTATGAAACAATTGTTTAGTTGACGGTATATCTTGACGAAATTTTGGCATGTAGTATGATTTAAGGCAACCTTACAATATCTAAAGAATTGTTCAGTTTGGAGTACTATAGCGTATAGCTGCCATACAAACTGACCGCTCCACCTTTAAAGGGTATTAAAGCTTCGATGTAGCCGAAGCTAACGTATTTTTTCATGTTTCTATTTATTTTTATTTTTTATTACATATTTTATTTATTTTCATATTTATTTATTTATTTTTATAATTATTTAGTTTTTTATATTTATTTTTTTATATTTATTTTTTATATTTGAATTTTTTATTTATTTATTTTTTTTTTGATATATAATTTTTTGTTGTTTATTTGTTTTATTATTATTTTTTTTTTTTTTATTGTTTATTAATTTTATTTTTTATTCATAAAGCTTTTATATTTATTAATTTTTTTATTATTTAATTTCTTAAAACAATTTCATCTAACATTATTTATTTGATTTTAAAATATTTAATTTTTTGTCTTTTTATTTACTTTTATTAATTTTTTTTGACGTTTATTTATTTTGTTAATTATTTCTTATTCACTGCTTTATTTTTTTTTTTATATATATTAATTTTTTTAATATGTTATTTCTTAAAACAATTTCTACTAACTTTATTTATTTTATTTTAAATTATTTCATTTTTGTCTTTTTATTTACTTTTATTAATTTTCTGTCGTTTATTTATTTATTATTTACTAATTTTTTTTTATTTCTAATTAATTTTTTTTTATTATTTATTTATTTTGGAGTTTTTTTATTTTTTATTTATGTTTATTATTCTTATTTTTTATTTTAAATATTTTTTATTGTTCATTAATGTTATTCTTTATTCATTAAGCTTTTACATTTTTTATTTCTTATACAATTTCATTTAACTTTATTTAATTTTATTTATATTATTTTAAATTATTTCATTTTTGTCTTTTTATTTACTTTTATCAATTTTCCTGTCGTTTATGAATTTGATTACTAATTTTTGATTTACTGATTTATTTTTCTGTATTCTAATTTATTAATTTTTTTAATTTATAAATTTTTTTTTTCTTTATTTTTTTTTATATGATTTCATTTTTTCATTGTTTATTATTTTAATTTTTTTATTCATTATTAATTTTATTTTTTATTTTTGTTTTGAATTTTTTTTTGTTTTTTGCATTTTTATGTTTTTATTGTTTTATACAATTGCATTAACCTTTATTAAATTGTTTTATATTATTTTAAATTGTTTAATTTTTGTGTTTTTATTTACTTTTATTAATTTTCCTGTGGTTTATTAATTTGATTACATATTTTTTATTTACTTATTACTTTTATTTATTTTTTTTTATATGTTTTTATTTTTTCATTGTTTATTATTTTAATTTTTGTATCATTTTTTTATTCATTATTAATTTTTTATTTTTATTTTTTTTTTAATTAAATTTTTTTTTTTTTTTGGTTTTTTATTTTTTCATAAAATTCCATTTAACTTACTCTAATTTCATTTATATTTTTTAGTACATATTTCCTGGCACAAATACTCTGCTTTTACACACTTATATCACACATTGACATTTGCAAATTTTTTAATTTAGATTTCCACGTTTTATTCATTACTCTGCCTCCTTTTTGCGGCTAACACTTGTTCTTCATAATTCATTGATAAGGTGGCGGCGATCTCTCAACCGCAACAATTGCTTTTGAATACGTAAATACATACATATGTAAGTATGTGCACATGCATATATGTATGGTATGTATGTATTTATATGCTTATGCTCTTTGTTGTACTCTCATTGATTTCGTATTAAGCAGCGACTTTACAGAGCAACACCCGCGGTCGGTGCGGTTGGGTATGGCATTTTTAACAAATTTACATATTTACACATGCAAATGTATATACATATGTATGTACATATATGCATATATTTACATTTTTACAGCAGACTAGTCGCTAGTGCTGCTAAGGTAGCTGAGCTGAGATGTCATACGCGTTGCAAATCAGCATTACAGCTATACAAAAATACATACATACATACATACATATGTATGTATGTACATAAGTGCATACGTGCATGCATTTATGTAGTATATAATATATGTATGTATATTAACAATATAAAAATGCATGTGTATGCATAGTGCATCTGCGGCTATCTATGCGATACATGCGCGCTTACACGCAAACATACAGACATGTATATGCACATTAATACATGTTTGTATGTATGCATGCGTGCGTTTGTATGTATCTATGTTAAAGTGCATGTGCATGCAATTGTTTGCTTGTATATAGTCGTATGTACATACCATATATTTATGGCATATATGTATATCGCTTTTTATGTACATATGTATGCACCGCACTTGCACATTTGTTTGTCTTTTTCCTTCTTTTTTTTATTTATGTACATTTCATTTGATTAACATGAGTATTTTTATTAATTTTTATAAATCATTGTTGTTTTTGGTCGCCTATCATCGTTGTCGTCGTCTTGAGTCGCTGATTGTTTGTTTGTTCTTATTGTATGCGCTGCTGTTGTTGTTGTTGTTGCTGTTGTACGTGTTATCGCAACACCCCGTCTATGTACAATCCGATTCATTCTTCGTCCATTAAATCCAATTAATCCCTGATGTGGTATCCCTCATAAATGTGCTCCATGCGAAATCCAAACACACACATATACACACATAGAGTTATGTATATGATCATGTATGTACAAAGCCAAATCCCGGCTTATCAAAAGTCATACGGTACTACGTACAACAACAAACAAATACATAAACACATGCACATATATTTACATATGTATAAACAAAACGATCTCTATTAAGTAAAACCAAAAAAAATGTATATATGTTTACAGTAGTATATATGCAAAATAGTAGTTATTTACTTTTTATATAAACGCACTTAATTCCCACAACACAATTTTGTTTATTTATTTAATTATATACGTATATATGTATATGAAAAAATTAAATATATTTTTGTTTTTGTTTCTGTTTAATTGCACACAACTTCTTCGACACCGTACGGTTTTTATTAAAATAAAAATTTAATTGTAATTTTTTACATTAAATTCTTTTTGTAATTTTCTTTAGCACTCATATTATAGAGCTGTACATATATATTAACATACACAAAAGCACAAATATATTCTAACTAGATGTATATATATGAACGAACAACCGCCTTCGATAACACCAACTCATTCGAAATGCAAAAACGCACTAATTCCACCCATTCGTTGGACCGGCCTTTCGCACTGAAAACCGAATGAAAACTTATTCGAACTTTCGTACATAAAAACACACATACAAACATACATACATATACATATAGTAGCAGAGCAAAGATCGTAACACGAACAATGTGATGCAAAATGTGCTTGAGCTCGTAAACGCAGAGCGAACTTTCAAAGAGCGTGAAGATCACTGAGTACAAAGAACGTTAAATGCATAAAGAGAGCGATCCAAGCAAGAGCGTAAAGCGCATAATACAGAACCGTAGATACCCGCCAGTTCGATTCATCACTAATAACACTAGTGAGTTCACTGGCTACTGTTAACCCACACTGGTTACCCATCAGATTACTGGCAATGGAGTTCACCCATGTATTTAACATACGATGTCATTGACGATATCCAGTTAACACTATTCACTAGCTACTTCACCACTTATTCCTAGCTATCTCACTACCTTTGCTATTTTACACTTCTTACTTCACTACCTACCACTCGCCGTATTTTACCACTTACTTCATTACTTACCACTTGCCATATGTCACCACCGACTTTATTACCTACCACTTGCCATATTTCACCACCTACTTTATTACCTACCACTTGCCATATTTCACCACCTACTTCACTCTCTACCACTTGCCATATTTCACCACCAATTTCACTACCTACCACTTGCCATATTTCACCACCTGCTTTATTACCTACCATTTGTCATATTTCACCACTTACTTTACTACCTACCATAGTAAAAATTGTGACAGAAGTGGAAGACAACACTTTCCCACGGAACCCCTTTCCATTTCGTGAATATGGTCGCTGTTGATTTAATGGGAGAGAGTGTTAGGCACCCCGCAGAGAAAAGCGAGAAAGATCGGTGAAAAAGCTGTTTACCTTTATGTGCTTTGTTGGTATTGTATACTCTATGGAACCCATACTGAGAGGAAAAAATAGTAAGAAAAATTGTACTAGTAGAAAAAGTAGTAGTAGTAGTAAAAAGAAGTAGTAGTAGTAAAAAGAAGTAGTAGTAGTAAAAAGTAGTAGTGGTAATAAAAAGTAGTAGTGGTAAAAAAAGTAATAGTAGTAGTAAAATGTACTGGTAGTAGTAAAAAGTAGTGGTGGTAATAAAAAGTAGTGGTAGTAGTAAAACGTAGTAATAGCAATAGTAGAAATTAGTAATAGTGGTAGTAAAAATTAGTATTAGTAAAAATTTGTGATAGTAGTAGTAGGTGCTTCGTATAATAGTAGTAAATAATTTGAGTAGCACGAGTACGTAGTAGGGATAGTATTGTAGTAGTATGTAAAGGTGGTAATAGTACTAGTAGCTGTTTAGTGGTCAGTAATAGTAATGTTTTTTTTCCAATAGGGGATCATCAAAGAGATTTTCTTACTCTGTTTTACTTTTATTTCTTTAATTATTTCGAATTAACTCTAAACTTAAAGTAAATAAGTTTGAAAATACAAAAGAATATGTACGATTTTAGAAATGGAAGGCCAATCAACAAACAATGAAAAAGATGTGAAAGACGCAACAATGAAAAGATGTGTGAAAACTTAAAATTTGGAACAAATTTTCACAACCTTCAATAAGTAAATATTTCAATAATTTCATTCCTTAAATTTCTTAATCACAATCTCTTCGTAGTAGGGCCGACAATTTAGGCGTACATTAAGGCGAGCGCACAACAAAAATATGCCCGACAATTTGCGATGTATCGAATAGATTTCCTCTGGTGGTGGACATAGGCGATGGGCGACCATTGTTGGTACTAAATGGGCGATACGTTCAGTGGTATTCTATTAGTGACACGTATAAAGTAAACAAAAAAATACGTTTCATATATACGATTTCAAAAAGGTTAAAAGAAAACTAATAGCACTTACTTGTTTACCAAAATCGAATTCGCCGTCAAAACAAAACATTTCGCCCAAAATCATTACGGCATCAACATGCGCCTCCTCCATTTGTTTGGTTTCATAGCCAGTGAGGAAGCCCATCTCACGTGACATGAGCAAAACACCCTCACGGTTGCCTTCCACGGCGTTTATAATTATCTGCAAAAAGTAATATATATAGTATTGAGGAGTAAAGTGTAAGCCAACTTTTGACAGACATACCTGTCGATAGTTTTGTATGAATTTCTTTTGATAAAAACGTGTGGAACCAAAATCAATCAACATTAAGCGTTTGGTATCAACGTCATAAAGAAAGTTCGACCAATTGGAATCTGTTTGCATGCACTCGATCTCGAATAGTTCGCGCAAACATAACTTGAGTACCGAGGAACCAATGTGATGGCGATGCTCATAGCTGAAAAATATTTAAGAATTCATATTCAATAATTTTGGCGTTAATAATAAATATTATTATATAAATGTATGCTCTGCTATAGGCAACATTCAAGCCAGTTTCAATATAAAAGTGGCAAATAAATTGATACTATTGTATGTTGTGCACATATTCACCTTAAATCAAAACACTTGTCCAGTGGCACACCGGGCACCAATTCTGTTGTGAGCACACTACCCGTAGTCAAATCTTTAATAACTGTAGGCACATAGTATTCGGTATAGGCCGCAATCATTTGCTTAAATTTTTCCGTATACTCAGCTTCGCGAGTATAATCTACTTCCCAATTTAGTTCACGCTTGGCTACCTACAATCCAAAGCAATATATTACATATATATAAATTCAAATTTTTGTTATAAGTTATTCGCAGGCACCTTAACCACATTGTCGATGAAAAAGCCGTGCGGGAAGACATCCCAAACTTTTAGCATGCCTACTAAATTATCAATATCACTCTCGATACTTTGTGCTACGCCAGGGTACTGAATTTTTATAGCCACTTGCATGCCGTTTTTCAATGTTGCACGATGCACCTGTACAATTAGAAATAACAATTTTGAAAATGTTTTTACAATAATGCTTTACAAACATTACCTGACCGATAGAAGCAGCAGCAAATGGTTTATTGTCAAAATTTTCCAATAGATCACGCCAGTCGGCACCTAATTGTGTGTTCATCACACGCTCCACCTGCCAATCTGGCATATAGTCGGCCGCTTGACGTACACGTTCAAAAGCTTTTGCCAATTGCGGTGACACCACATTCGAATCTTGTATACTAAGTATTTGACCGATTTTTAACGCTGCACCACGCACCTTGCAAAGTGTGTCGACTATGCGTTCAGCATTGGCTGGACTAAGTAAGGCCTCTTTTAAATTTTTGGAACCGCCAAGTCCCAGTGCACCTTTGGTTAGTTCATTTATGGTGCCGACACCTAAACCAGCAAAAAGTCCACCAAAGGAAGCCATGCGACCTAGTCGACTAGATGGTACACGTCGTTGCTTAGCAACTTTGCTTAAAGTTGGTAGTTCGATTGCTGGCGTTTGTTGAGCAGCATCTGTCGTTGTATCCGTTTGTCCGGCAATAACTTTAAGTATATTCTCCACGTAAACTGTATCAGCTTTTATAGCGCTAGTTACAGGTTTTGTGACGCCAGTTGTAGGTGTAACTATGGTGCCCGCTGTTGCTGCTTCGCCGTTAGCAGCTGCAATCCCTTCAGTTTTTCGCACATTTTCATCTTTAACTTGCTTATGCTCTGTTGTTGGCATACGCAAACTTATATCACGATTTTTATTACGTTTGGATAGAATCTCTTCCAGTTCATTTAATGTTATCGAAGATATATCCAAGTGTGCAGCATCTAATTGGCCGGCCGCCTTACTGGTATCCACATTACTAACATTTATATTAACGCTACCACTGTTTTTCACGCCAGCTGTCTGCTGCTTGCCACCAACATTGCTGCCAACAAAAGCATCACCCATTGCACGCTGCAATTGTTGCTGACTCATACGCAAATCACCAGGCACTTTCGCAACAGCTAATTGACGTAAACCTTCAATTACAACACAAGTACGCTCACTGGTCTCCTGTAGCAATTGTTGTAATTTTTTCAATTCTTCGGCTGGTTGTTCACCAACTTTTTGAAAATAATTTGCGCTCTGTTGTAGATTACCTTGCAAAAGTTCACGTACACTCGACTGATTCCAACGGTTTTTGCATAGTGCGCTCTGCTCGCGACATAACGCCTCTGCTACTAATTGTATGCCCCGCAAAACGGCAAGAGCATCTTGTGCCGAACGGGCCATACTTGTTTTCTACAGCGATGATTCACACGTAAAGAATTAAAATTGTTTTCGATTTGTTTGCACACAGAACATTTGTTTTGCTTAATTATTTTTGGAATTTATAGTTTTTTACATAATATTCTATATTAATGCGTGCTATTTTTTCATAACAGTTGCGAAACAAATGCAAATTTACACAAATGGCGCACAGCAGGTAAAATGAGGTTATGCCGTCAGTTTGACGAACAGCTGAGCGTTGATTACATATGAATGACAACGGTGTGGCAAGAATATTCGAACAACAAATGAAATGTAATTTTTTATAGCTTACGCTGAAATTTGTAAAAATAGAAAAAATTATTATAAAAATAAATATTAAAAACAAAAAATAGGGAAAACAAACATTAAAAAAGATATAAAGAAATTATAAGAAAAGTATTATTAAAAAAATATATAAAAGAAATTATAAAAAAAGTATTATAAAAAAAAATATATAAAAGAAATTATAAAAAGAGTATTATAAAAAAATATATAAAAGCAATTATAAAAAAAGTATTATAAAAAAAAAATATTGTATTATAAACAAAATCTTATAAGAACAATTATTATAAACAAAATCAAAATTAAAAATTTTTAAAATGAACAATTTTTAATAATAATTAAAAAAAAATATTAAAAACAAATTTTTAATATTCAAAAATATATTTTTAAAAATTTATAAAGATATATAAAAAAATTATAAAAAGAAATATTATAAAAAAAGAGGGTAAAAACGGATGTAAAGAAATATTATGAAAAATAAATATTAAAAAAAATATATTATATTAAGAAAACAAATATTAAAAAATATTGTATATATAAAATATTATAGGAAAATTTAGAAAAAAGAGCATTGCAAAATAAAGAGTTGTAAAACTAAATAAAAATAAAAATTATTTTAGCAAAAATAAACATTGTAAATAAAAATACTAGGAATTACATATATAACAATATAAAGAAAAGGAAAAGTACAAAATAAATGAATTTCCATACACATATAAATTTTGTAGAATTGTTTTATTTTATTTTACAATATGTTTTAAAATATTCAAAACACTGTTTTAAACTTAACGTTCCCTTTTATTATTTGTATTTAGCACCGAATTTTACTTACTGAATATATGTGACAATTAAGTAAATAAAATTTATTTAAGTATGTAATATAAAATTTCATTATAATAGGTCTTAAATTCTAACTATCGCTAGTTAGCAAAGTTTCTGCTGGAAAAGCGTTTCTTAACCCAAAAAACTAGCTGAAGAGAGTATAAGTTGAGAGTTAAAAAAATTGCGAGCAGCCAGTTTCTGCTAGTGAAATTGCTACTAGCAGAAAATATCTGCTGCCAAATGAAAGATTTGCTGCTTTGATTTTGTTTATTTTCATTGTATTAAATTGTAAAAATTAAAATTCTTTTGATTGATTTTAAGTGTTGATATGAAAGGATTGTAAAAAATAACATTTTGAGATTTTCTTGCCAGTTTCTGCTGGTTTTCCGTTTCTTTACTTTTTCATTATTTCGGTCTTTGAGAGAGTAACTGTCAATTTTTTTTTCCTGATAGCTAGCAGCTACTAACAGTTAAGATACAAAGCTAATATTTTATGTAAATATTTTCAGTGATATAATTATTCGGTAGTGTGCTAATAAAATTTCAATATATGTAAGTACAGTAGAAATATGCTTAAAATTCCCAATTATAAGCGCAACCGATTTTATCATTCATAAGTTAAACTAGCAAAAAAAGGTTTAAATAATAATAAAGTTTTCTGTAACTTTACAAAAAAAAATCGCTTTTTTGTTTGTTAAATAGCGAATGCTACTATATGCAGACATTTTTTATATCATATTTAATTTTTTATTTTTTTTAGCTACAATCGAGGCTTATATTGAATTTCCAAAAATATATGATAAACACTATGTTGTATAGTGTATTTCTTATATCACTTTGCATTAAAATTTTATATAAATTTAATTTACCGAATTTATCACGATGTTTACAATTTAGCTATTGTTTCAATACTAAATTATTTATTGTTATTCTAGTTTTCTATCACTGCGTCTTCGTTTTTATTCTCTTGGTCTTTATCACAACTCTCCACGTAATCTTTTTTAGTGCGGCCAGCGCGTTCAAACTCAGCATCCATTAGTTCAGCGGCATGTTTATACGTGACAGCTCTAGTAACCGGATCAAATATGCGTAAATGGGGATTTGGTAGTGTATTATGCTTTTGACCCAATGATGTATAACCCTCCTCATACAGGCGGCAGTAGGGCACTTGTCGCACGAATGTGTAATACCAAATATCACTATAGCTCCAATCGAGCAGTGGATTTATACGCATTACACTTGGCCAACCCACATCGGTAACCTAAAAAATGTTTTATATAAATACATAGTAATACAATGTAATCCAACAACAGGTATTTATAAATATTTTTGTAAACATACCTGCATAGCATTCAAATTCTCACAATATGGATCCGTGCGTCTAGTGCCCATAAATATAGCACGTATTTCAGGCTTCTCTTCGAGTATCTGCGTCAATACATCCTTTATACAACCTTTGCGCCTTATCAACTCGATATTATAGCGTCTTTCGCAATCTAGCACCACAGCTTCGACTTCTTCGAAACTGTTTTCCGTTTCAATATACAATACTGGCACGCGTATATGACTGATGCATTTGTTGCGTTTGAAGAAGGCTTGCAATAAATCCAGCAAAACAGTGCAATCTTTGCCGCCGTTAAACGATATCATCCATTCATCAGCTTGATACAAGTGCAGAGCTTGAGCAAAAAACTGGGGGAGCATACATTAACAATAGTTCTTGTTTAAACGTGTATATTACTTGCAAAAAAGATATACAACTTACCGCAAAGGCTTCCTTTTCCAATCTTTCAACACGCCTTATAGCACAGTGATCCGGTTTAATATTTTCTGTCTCCGTTGTTTTGGCAAGGAAGGAACTGATAAGAGCATCGCGTTCAGAGCGTTTAATTTGTTTGGACACACAGTGCAGCAAATTACCGATATTCGTCATTTTTTTAAACTATTTTATAGCGTACGCTATAGCTTAACTATTGTTTTCTATAAAATATCTGAAAGTTAAATAAATTGTAAATGCAACTTTATTGCTACGACACCACTGATATGAAAATGCCAGTTGGATGCTATAAAAAAATTCACCCTAGTTTAAGATTGAATAACAACCGAATAAGCAGGTATATACAATAAATATGGTGGTTTAACAAAAGATTTTTAAAACCACTTTATATTTCAAGTATTTTCTTTGTACGTGCGACGTGCAACTATAGATAATGTGTGAACCAAAAAATTTTGTCACATCTGGGTACTTTAGTATAGCTCGGAATCAACAAAACTTTTCTATAATGAGCACTGATTTAATTATGCCACTAAAGTTAATTAAAATGGAGTGTAAAAATAAGCATGCCCATCTGTATAAATATCACAATGACACTTAATAAACATGCTGATTCAGTTGAGAATTCAAGCACAGTATCGGATACATTACAGATTAACCCCAGCATGGTGCTGCTGTACGCAACTTCATTTATTAATTTTATATTTTATAAAAAACAAGATGATTTTGTAGAAAACGCTCCTATTTCTTGATAGTAAAGTTACATCACATTAAAATGCTCTCATATAATGACATCTCTTTATCAGTTCGTTCTAATCAAGCGCTATATGTATGAAAATTGGACTCACCACAACTTCAGCACCATAGATTGAAAGCGCCGCAAGTTTTTTAATGAAATTTATGTAATTTTAACAACTTTCTACTTCATCGCTTTCTTTTTTTGCACTACTCTTCGAGAATTTTTCAACAACAAAGCATGTTTCTAACCGACGGTACTTGCTGCACGAAATAAATATTTTTGTAACACAGAAAGTAGCAGTTGCGCGTAAGTAAAATCGGCAGTTGAATCGAAATAAAATTTAATCTAAAAGCTCTATAGAATATATATTTTTTTATATCTTTTCACGTTTTGACAGCAAACATTTAGCCAACACAGCTGATTGGATTTGTGTACAGCAGATATTTGACATTGAATATATGTAGTCTCGATGCATACCTGTCTTAGTGTTGTAGCTATTTGAAGTACCGAGTACGGGTATTGGACTTTTCTTTATTAAGTTAAATTACAGCGTATAATATAGCTTAAGATAATATTAATCACTTTACCATATAAATAAATAGTAATATATAAACAAAAATATGAAAAATATTTTTAATACAATTGAAAAAAGTTGAAAATGAACGATAAAATAAATTCCGAGCGATTCAATTAAAAATAATAACCGAATGAGTTGATTTTTTTTAAATAAGTTAAATTAATAATAATTAAATTAAATTAACTAAAAATAAGCATTTAATGTCCAGCGCTAGATGGGCGTACATGATCGACGCTCTCGTAAAAAGCTTTAGAAATCCAGACTACCCCAGAGCAAAAAAAAAAACAAACAAAAAAAAAACAAAAAACGTATAATTTGAAATAAATAAATAAACATAAATTTTAGCAAAAAAAAAATTTTTTAAATTTTCAAAAAAGCTAATTTTATTAAATATAAATTTATTTACTTTTCACATTAGCACCCTTGTATATATGTATGTATGAATACAGTTAAAGCTCAATTGCTCACCCTCAAATATTATATGTGCTTAATTTGAATTTCGATGGGAAAATTGTATTTTTTAAGATATCACGTTCAACAGCGCAACACCGTCATTATTCATGTTAAGACCGAGTATGTATGTATGTGTATTTGTGCACGCTTTATGGTTTAGTCACAACGAAGATGTTTAAGATCGCCTGATTTGAAATGGCACACGCTTAGCATTTTAAATATGTGGGAGACGGGTTTTTTCGTCAACTTAAATCTTGCATACAGATGTGTGTGTGTGTGTATGTGTTTATGCATGTAGGCCAAACAATAGTAATAAATCAAAAATAATAATAATAAAACTAAAAAAAAAAACAAAAAACAATTAAAAATATTAAAAAATACAATTAATTAAAAAATAAAATGATTAAAAAATAAAATTAATTAAAAAATAAAATTAATTAAAATAAAAGCAAAAAAATTAAAATTTTCTTTTGAAAAAATATATTAATTCAAAAATTATTTAATTAATTAAACATCTGAGTTTCCCAAAAAAAATTTTAATTTGAACAAAATTTATTTTTTATATTAATTTTAGTTAATTTTTTTTTTTTTATCTATTTTTCATTTATTCACGCTTTATGCCGTTGTAGCGCAACCGCACCACAATTATCTTATCATTTAACTGCTAACTATTTGATTAGATTTTGGTCAGAGAATACGAAATGATAAGAGCTTGGGAGTTGTTGTCTCATTTGTCATGCCTAATCAAAATTGTACTCTCAACCAAACTTAGATATGCATGTATATAAGTAAGTATATATATACTTATATATAGAAATGCTATTTTTAAATGTCACGCATTAACTGAAATTAATAACTATTTTGTTGGTCCATATCTTAGAACTGAGTTGGCCCGCTTACCAAGTGCTACGGCGTTTTTGTCTATTGGAAAACAGCTTGTATGGTATTCGAGTCACCTTAAGTTCAACGCCTGACGCCGTCTTTATCTAAATGAGCTTCGAGGACTTGTTGGTGTATCATTTTTTTTTGGCAGTAGTTTGCCTACTATATGTGTGTATATATGTACATATGTATATACACTTATAAGCTAATATATCGGATGTAACCTCAAAATGTGAGCTTACATTGTTGACAATAGCGTCTTAGGATCTCATTGTTATTGTTGTTATTATTATACAATATTTTGGTCATATGGAAATTCGGGTCCATTGCAGTTTTTCGATTCCGGCTGTGTTGAGAACCGACTTAAATCTCTTACCACCTGACCTAAATGCGTCAAATTTGCTGGAAGACGTGACTTCTCTTTGCGATAAGCTCAGTGTTTGATGTCTCTCTTAACATATTACCGCAAAAACCTTTTGCAGAGAGAACGCTTTTAGCATTACTCGGGCCATATTCTAGTGAAAACCACATATTTCCGTTATTCCTTGTCGATTGTGGCTTGTGTATTGAGTTTCAGTTAATTCTTTGCTCTTTCTCAAAGAGGCAGCTTCAAGAGCTATCAGCTCGCATACGAACATTTGCATAGCAAGCCAAGAATGTACAAAGGTTTCTATTTCACGATACGCAATGCTTGTTACCGCAATCTTGGACTTCTGTGACTTATATAAGCTCTTGTCAGCCAATTTAGTCCATACATACTCGTGTTAATACATAGGTGCCTTACGTCTCGGTGCCAATTTTGTAAAAAACATTCTCGTAGTACTACGAAACAGAGCAGCCAGTGTCGCATGCATGGTTGTTGAAATCAGGAACTATACTCAACTAACTTTTAATCAAGATCTGCTTATTTGCTATTTACACCAAGCCTAAATTGAATAACCTTATTTACTACATAAGATCACAAGAAAAACCATTAGGCATAAAATTCTCTTATTATAAGAAATGTCAGTTATGTGAGTGCCACTTAGCAAAAATTCGAAATTTCTGATGAACTTGAATTTTTTGCTTAATTTTTTTTTTAACTTCTGTTTCGTTATAAACATTTCCTGCAACATTTTAATTGACACTAATCTGACATTTTATTTAAACCCCATTGTCAATTTGAAAATTATAACCAGCTGCGTGCTTGTCAGCTGAAAAATTACAACTTTTAGCTCCGCTAAATTGTGCTTCATTATTAATTATTTATAAATAGATGTTCACTGTTCTCACCCATTCTCCAATTCCGCCTTAATGCGAATTTAACGATGATAATGCCAATTATTTCACCACGTTTTTCTCAACAGACAATACACGTGAAAGGAAGAATAACAAAATTTTGTGGTAAACTAACAACACCGACCACTTTTATAAGCGAGTTGACATTGAAATGTTGTTAAGAAATTGTAAGAAAAGTTATTCTTCCTGCGTGCTGGTAGATTGAAGTTTATTTTTGCAAATATAACTCCGAAGATTAACATAACCTCAAATCGTTTACGTAGAATATTTGTTATCCGTCCTTCTGCTTTTGAAAGAAATTTGTTATAACCGTATCTTAACGTTAGCTGTTGATTTCTCTAAAGCTGCAATTTTGGTAACCTTTCAAGTATTTTATGGGGCATCAGATTGAGCTCTGACACATCGGCAGGTAATAGCGAGTGTATTTTTACTTCTTCAAAACTTGTAGAGCCAGCGAGGTGTGAATTATGTAGAATGTAGCAAAGTTCGTAAGCGGTTCCTTTCAAGTACATGCCTTTCGCCTCTGAGTTTTTGCCCTTAAGAACTCGACTTTAAGTGATGTCTAGCATTCAATGCCAGGATCGATAGTACTAAGATGACTGTTCGATCTGAATCTAAAGTACTAAGAGGATTGGAAAGTATTTATATATGTCTCTCTCTGCCATACCAGAATCACTGAACTTATACAAATATGTAGCTATCGTGACATCAGTTTTATCAAGATCACAAAGTTCAATATTTTTATATAGTAAACTTATAGGCAATACATAAGCTTTGTCTGATGTCTTATGTCGTATTTTAATAGTCTTAAAAAATATGACACTTGTGAGCACCCCTTAATCGTTGTATGTCATATTGTGTAAAATTTCTATGTTTCACCAGCTGTTAGTATAATTAACAATGCCATGAGAAAATGACAAAAAAAAAATTAAAGCTTCTTAATGTGAAAACTTTCTTTATGTTGAAACGGCGGATTTTTGATTTACACTGCATTAAAATCATTTCCAACCACAAAAACAACAAAATATTTTTATACAAGTATGTCACTTTTCTTCAACTTTATTTAGCTGAATAGCGTGGCTTCCTTCCATATTATTAAAGAAATTTAAGAAATTTGTGCAATGTATTAATTTTAGACACTTAAACGTCAACAATAAAAAAAGTAAACAGATACAGCTGATAGAATTACACACTCAAAAAACATACCTCGCCGTGTTGTATTTGTCGTATTTCAATTTTACATGGGAAACAACAACAATGTTGATATGACAGTCATAAAAAAATAAGACAATATGACGATATGACACAATATAACATCTTGTGAATACCCTATTTGTTTTATATTTTTGAGATGTGAGAGCTAACTACAAGTATAGCGAAGTTGCTGAAGGTAAACGCGTCAAAATAGCTAGAAAATTTTATAGCAGCATATTTTTGAACGCTTTGTGTGGGAATACCAACATTTTTGATGTCTTCAACTTTGACCTTGTCGAAATCATTATGGCTTATTGAATATGCAGCTCAATCTTCATCAAGCAATATCTTATGTGAAGAGCACTTTTTCTTTCACTTTCAAGGTCACAGCGAATTTCGTTTACGTAATACAGTGTTACACACTAAACGCATAAAAAAAACAACAATTGAAACAAAGTAAGCGCTTCACCAAAAAATTTGGTCACGTGTGGGAGTACACGATTACATAAAATGCAAATTGCTTTCAAGTGATAATTGCTAAAATTTTAAAGTGACAATTGAAAGTGGAAAGCAATAAATAGCAAAAAAGAAAAATATTTTATAAAATATATAAGTTAAAAAAAGTACAAAAATTAACAAAAAAAATATATAAAACTTAAAAAAAAATTAAATGAATGGAGCGTGAGCTTGCAGTTTCTAAATAAAATTTATGAAAATTTAAAAAAAAACAACCACGCAAGCGAAGCAGTAGCATTTTGACAGTGATTGAATATTTTTATAAATATGCTATCATATAAAAGCATATATGAGCATACATATGACTATGTATATAGGTATGCATATTTATATTTATTGATCACGCTGCGCAGGCGTCGCAGCAATAAATTTTGTCGCATAAATTTATTAGAGCAATTTTTTTTTGTAAACAATAATTTTTTTCAACTGTTTACCTATAATTTTGTGTTACTTTATTGTTTTAATAAAAAAAAAAAATCATTGGGAAATTTAAATGGTTAAAAGCAAACTCGTCTTGTACAATGTATATAAAAATGTTAGCTCGAAGCTTTGTAGACAACATTCACGAGCTGTCTTTAAGTCACAGTAGTACGGAGTTTAATATTTAAAAAGGATTTTTTAGTGTTGATAAAATTTGCTGCAATGAATTGCGCGGTAAGTGTGGAAATGGAAAAGGAAAAATTTTATAAAAAGCATAAAAATTGCGAATTGGTGGCAAAGAGTGTAAAAATTGTATAAATAATGGAGAAAATTTAAATTTATTTTAATTAAAAAGTTTACATTTAAAAAAAAAAATTAAAAATCAAAAATTTATTTAAAATAACTATACTTGCAACATTTTACAAAAGTGTAACAAATATGCAAAAATTTTTGCTAAGCATAAAATAAAGCAAAATTTTATATAAAAAACGTATTAAAAAAAAACAAGAGAAAACGTTAACTTCTGTTGCACCCAAGCTATAATACGCTTCACAAATGCAGAATATTCGTTACTAACATAACTTTGATCAGTCACTTTGTATGGCAACTTATTGCTAAAGTCACTCGAACTGAACAATTCCTTTGGAGATTGCATTATTGTCTTAGGCAATAACCCATGTGAAATTTCGTGAAGCTACCTCCACAAATGAAAAAGTTTTCCATACAAGCACTTGACTCCGATCGTTCATTTTATATGGCAGGTATAAGCTATAGTGGTCCAATAACGTCAACTCAGACAGATGAGCAGTTTCTTGCAGAGAAAAAGACGTGTGCAAAATGTCAGAACGATATCTCAAAAACTAGTTCGCGTATATACAGACAAACGGACAAACAGACGGACATGGCTAAATCGACTCAGCTCGTCATGCTGATCATTTACATATATATATTTTATAGATTATTATTACAACAAATTAAGAAAATACTATATTTTAAACCTGATTCTACCTAACGTCATCCTATTTATTTATTTAACTATATATATATCCGAAACCGATTACATACAACATAATAAAAGATATTTGTCAAATTTTTCTACTCTTCTGTCTCACAGTATATTTGCTATTTATCGCTCTGCATTGGCACAGCTTTAGCTGTGCTCTATAATGGTGAAGCGCCTAAGCCGAATGCCGAAACTGTTGTCGGTGGGCTTCAACAACAACATACGCTGCAACAACAAGAACGTCTGCAACCACTAACACTTCCTGGTTATCATTACAGTGGACCAGCCGCAACAGCGCAGCAAGCATTCAACGGCTATCGCTACAGTGCGCCAGCAGCGACAGCAACTGAAACTACAACAACCACAACTACAGTCAGGCCATCAACCACAGCAGCGCCTACGCAACCTGCAGCTATTGGTTATATTTATAACAAGCCATTGGCCGAAAGCTATAACGGACACACCTATTTCGACGCTCCCCACTATCAGCAGAGTCAGCAAACGCTCGCTTTGGCGGTCAGCAGTGATGCCGATGTACGACAACAATTACCTTTGAGTGCCGCGCACAGTTATTATGTGCCACAATCGGAAGTGGTCAACAGCGGGCATTTTGATGCGATGAAACCCAAATTCTTTGTGCAGCGCATTGTGGCAGCTGCCACCGAAGCGCCACAAACGTTGACGCAAACCGCGCAGGTCGCAAAGGAACAACGCAATGACGATGCTATTATGGCTTTGGGTTATAACTATGCGCACCCGACGAGTGACGCTGAAATGACAGCTGATGCGCCAGCCTCCTATCAGCAAGCATTTCAACAGTTCGCTGACTATTTGATATGGCAAAGAGCGCAGAGCAAGCAGCAGGAGCAAACGCAAACGGAAGAGAAGCAGCAACAACACACAATACCGCACACGACACAAGCTTACGATGGTGCTGCGCTGCAAGAATTTAATTTCCCCTCCGCTCAGAGGCAATACGAGTCCGCAATAGCGTCAAGCCTTATTCAAGCAACGCCACAAGCTGCGTCAGTGACTTTCGCTAGAGAAAGTTACGCGCCAGCTGCGGCAGTGCCAGCAAATACGGTTGCAGCGCCGCAAGCCACAAATCTATTAGCTTCAGCGCCAGCGCCAACGCTAGTTTTGGTCGAAAGACGTCCGTTGAGCAACGGCGTACTGCTGAGTGGTGAGCGTTTCACATCGAAGCATAACACTGCCGAGTACTATATAGAAAGGCCGTCCGAATCATTCGAGTTGCCAACTTACAGTACCATGGAGATGGCATCAACTCTGGAATTGAGCTCAAATCACGACCAAAGCGCTAGCCAGAGCTATGCACAAAGCAATGCTGAAAAGCTTGCGCAACAGTCGTCGGATAAGCAAGTGTACCACAATAATGTAGCGCAGGCAAATGCACCGTATTTCTATGAGCCAGCCAAGCAGTTTGCGCAAACTGCGCAACATCCCTTGCAGCTCCAACAACAACGGGACAGGCCAACGCAGCAAGCGTACGTGATGCAAGAGCAAAGCCTTGCTGCAGCGGCGCAGCAGAAAGAGTCGTTGGCAAAAGCACAACAACAAAGCCAACAATTAGTGAGTGCCAAAAAGCTTGCGCAAACATTTGCACAACTAGCAACAGATGCAACGAAAACTCAAAAGCCTCAACCAAATGACGCGTGGTTTGCAAAAATACCACAGTGGCCGCAGAACGTGGCATTGCAGGTACAGCAACAACAGCAACTATCACAGCAACGGCAACAACCATTACAACAACAACAGCCATTGTATAGTCGTTTTGTTAAGCCGTTAGGGCAAACAGCACATGAACTGGGACAGTTGCAGTCAATCGCACAGCAACAATATCGCTTGCAACAACAACATCAATTGCAGCAACAACAGCAGTCGAAAAAGCAAAATAATTACCCAGAAGCGCAGTCACAGCCACGCCCTCAATCACAAAGTGAGCCGTTGACCTCAGCAGCCGCAGACACAGCAACCATATTGGAACATAGCTCTCAGCGCTTCACACAGTCCACACAACCCTCGCAAGTCAACACGCCCACAGCCGATTCCAACGATTTCTTCAATTTTGATTCGACTCATTTCAGACATCCCCATAGCACTTATGGTGTACCGTCAGAAAATACTAAGGCAGGCGGTTACAACTATCAACGACCAGTGGGTCATTGAAAGTGAAGCGATGATTTCTAAATTATAGTGCCTTCTTTAGTTAGCTACGTTTTCATAAGTACCGTTATAATTCTTTATACTTTTACAGATAAAATATATTAATTTTTACGAGTAAAAACCGTTATTTTGTCTGAGAACACTACCACGAGTATATAGCTGCAGTAAGTTAAAATATTTGGAGAAGTCTTGAAGTATAGTCTACAATTTTAAGCTTTCAAGTATTTTTCACTCAATCGGGTGGCTAAATGAATAAGAACACTCATTTGTCGATGCTAAACACACAACTTCCCGAGTTTGTTATACAATTCCTAAATTTTCTCAAACTAAAAAGTTTTTAGTTTGCCGTAATTACGTTGTAGGTCACTTTGAGATGAAGCTAAAGGTCTTCTTTGGACAACGCAAATTATAGGTAGTTGATTCCAGTAAAATGGATCCGACTTGTCCCAGTTGCATCCCTCTGTCATATAGTTATGTTGAATCCGAACACATCTATTTGGTATGACAAAATCAAACGCCATAATTTCAGGCCACCCCCAAAGCTATCACCTCCAAGCAGGCGCTACGAGGCATTCATTGCACTTACGTATAGCTGTTTGATAGATCCACAAGCCTTACACATTTATATAATCCAATTGTGATCCACATCTTACAGTCGTTGGTATGAACGAGCCAAATTTCGAAATGTTTCAGATTCAAGTTTATAAAAACACAGGGTTTTGTAAAAGTCAAGTCAACACCATCGCATATGTCGTAATACACAAATTTCCACAACTGTGCTACTAGAGATTGCCAGCCATAATGATTACCAATGCAAAAACTCTATGCACATATGGAACGAGAGTGTCTTCAGCCGCACGCAATATATCCACCGTACAGTCTGATATCGGATTTCATTGCATCACTTAGCCATGACCATGAAACGTCAGCGCGCAGCAACTGCGTCAGCGCAGCAAAAGCTAATGTTGAGCTCTATATTATGTCACATAACTTTCACTGTCTACGTTTAGAATTACACTTCCTCCGGAACCGTAAGCGATGCCAAAGTCGGCAGGGCGTAATAAGAGACGGCGTGCTGGTGCTGTACAGCCACTTTTTGTCTCATATTTTCGCTACGGTTTTCCATCAAAATATTTACTTATGAATATGAAGTGTGGCATTTTGCAATAAAAAGAGACATGGCCATTGAGATGTGGTATAGTCAACGAATGTTGAGCACAACGAGCGGTTGCCAAGTCAATTTTACTAATAATACCACCTGCAGGACATCAATTCACATAATCTAAGGTAAGCAATAGGTACTAAAAAAATAAAACAAGGCATACAAATTGAAAATTGAGTCGAATTATGTGATAAATCTAGTTGTTTTGGAAACACGAAGTGATTCATGCTGAGAGACTCTCTCTATAAATTTTAAGAAAGTAAGAAGTCCGTTGTCGCAATATACCCGCTTTGCTTAGAGCAAGATCTTGAAGTTCGTTTATACCGAAGACCGCAGGTCGGAGAACTTTCCTTATAATGATGGCGTTGCGGTTCGAGGGCTTGTGGAGTCGCGACCTCTTCAATTTTTACTACATTTTAGACTGAAAATTTTTCTGTCATACAAGTGGAACGCCTCAAAGACTATACACACGGACACATGTGATTTTTAGAGATTTTATAGAGTAAAAGAACGACAAAAATAATCTCTACAATTTTTACTTCACAGTTCGGCAACATAAAACCGCTATTTAAGAAGCTGGTATTACTTGAACCAACATATAATTCGCGAAGAAAGAGATTAAGTCGTCGAAGAAAGGTTTAAACATATATGAACATGCAACTGATGATTTTGCTACTGCTGTGGCGCTGTTTGCTTTGCTTCGGCGAATCCACCATTACGCACGCCACCAATGTCAGCAAACGCCAATTGCAGTATGGTGGCAACTATCCACCGCCGAGTTACCAAGCGCATGGCAATCAGCAAGCCAACTACTTACTGCAAACACCACCATTGCTCTATGACCCCGGCTACAATGCACAGCATCTACACGAAATCGGCGCTGAGACTGACCACACAACGGACGCGGCAGAGCTGAGCACACCGAATGCAACGCAACCACTACAACAACGAACACCAACAAATCATGGTTTGGGCGCACAATTCGAAGCACCCCAAACATTTTCGCAAATTTACTTACCACACGGGTACGCAACAGGCGCACAGCTTACCTTGAGTCGTACAGCGCCGCATACCTTCCCTGGCGAAACGACAGTTGCATTGGCCGCGCGCAACAGCGGTCGCTCATACAGCACCAGTTCCACCTACTTTGTGCCAATGAGCTTGCTTTACCATCCAAATGTGGATTCACAACTACAACCGAGCATCTATGCTCAGCGTCTTGCACAGCAACCGCAACAAATGCAGGCATATAATCCACTATCGCCGCCGCCGCCGCTGCCACCAGCGCTCTATCAGCAATATGCGTTACAAGCAGCGCTGCCACCAACACAACCCACAGCAACGCCGTCAATTGCAGCACAGTCAACACAACTGTCACAACAGCAGCAACAACCAGCGCAGCAACAGACAATTTCACAACAACAAACATCGCTTGAACCACACGCCTTACCGCCGTTGCCACGTTTACCGCACTTGCTGCCGCCGTCAACCCCACCTTCCTCCTCACCGCTACCGCTCAATTTCCAGGCGCCTTTTCATCCCTCACAATTTCTCGGCTATATGCATGAACGCGATGCGCGTAATAGCGTCGCGTCTTCCACAGGGAGCACTGATGCACGCACGTCGCACCACACAAAAGCCTATACGGGTTATCCACAACCACAAGTTGAGAAGCCGATTTATGAGCATATGGCGAGCAGCGCAAAGCAGCAAAATTATCCAGCCGCCGTGGCGCGCTATGGCCGCTACATTTATATGGCACCGAATAGTGGCTACGCACTCTTCAAAGCGACGTAAAGCGCAAAAGGATGCAGAGCAGAGAAATATCAGGTGGAAGAAGGAGGTGAAGATAGTGAAAGTATTTACGCGAGTGGAAAATTAGTTGTGAGCGGTGACGGTAGCCAAGCGTCACAAAATAGGCGATGTCCGGATCCAGTATAGTCCTATAGTCCTTTATAAATCTAACATATAGTTTTAAAAGCAATTAACAGCTTACAACCACATGATATTTACAGTTATTGATGCACAAGGAATTAATAAAATAAGAAAATATTTTTTTTTAATTAGTGCTACGAACTTTACTGTATCACAAGGAGGTCTAATGACCCAAATGAACATCAGCTACACCATCCCTCCCCTTAAAAAAAAAAAAATAAGACTTTGCATCAGCATTCTAAATTATTAAATAATCGCTTGGATAGCATAGAATTTTCTGTCTTAATTCTGCTTGCAGTGTTTGCTATTTTGCTTGGATTTTACCCAACCCTTGCACTGAATTATTTGAAGCCATCCTATCAATGATATTTTACTAGCATTACTCATCGTCTACTGCCATATGCCCTGGACCATTATTGATATAGATATAGTTTGAGACCAGAAAAGATTAATCGAACTGTAGATTACGAAGATTATCCGGACGTATAATGCACAACGGAGGAATCATAAACTGAGCTTGAGCTGCTGTCACTCACCTAAAAGCTTTGTTCTATCCCTTGACTTAAGAGCGTAGTCTAAGACCAAAACATGTCGATTATCTGTATGGCAAAACTAGACAAGATTCTAAGAATTATTTTCAACGGCAACTCACTATAGTCACCGGGAATTTGTAGAACATAGTTAAAGAAGTACCTACTATTACTAGAAGAAACCGCAACAACTAAGCTTAAGGCTTAGAGCGAAGCTTAGTTGTTGCGGTTTCTTCTAGTAAGGCGAAGGAGTTCTGAGTTCTTCAATAATACTCGTCTGCGTACTGTTCTGCGGACCGAATATTGTTAATGTAGATTTCGCTTCCTAAAATCTGTGCTAAGAACATGAAATTATTAAGTTTTTTGTACTGCCATACAGTTGAGACCAAAGCAAAATGGATGCTGTTTTAGCAACAAGGTAGAAACCTCGTTTGGAACCCGACATTAAAACGATTGTATGGTTCCGAAGCGCTTAAGCGTATGTAGATCTAGACGATAGCTCGTCAAAACACACGCAGAATCCAAATCCCGACGGTTTCAATGTTGAATGCCACTTTAAACCATGTTCCTTTCATAGCTGATTTTTGTTTTGTAGTTGACAGTTCTTGAGTAGATATCAAATCATTATTGTGCCGAAACGTAGACTCGACTGGGTTGAGAACCACACAAAGAGACGGGGATATCATCTAGTGAGATTTCCTTCCGCGAACTCATCGTTTAGAGGCGCTCATACTGAACTTATAACCGGCTTCTGAAGCAACATGGTAAACGAACAGCACTTGCGTTGCCAAAACAGTTGGGTCTACGTAACAAAAGTGTACCTCGTTTTTTATCCGGTCAAGGACTATGAACTCGGCAACATTCCTTTAAAGCTCTGACGTTTAGGCATAAAAGCAAATTCATCAAATCAATTCACTTTCAAACACTTTAACATTAGACGGCTGCTGTATATTAGACGGAGTTTAAAATACCTTACGTTTGTATGAAAAAAAATGTTAAATGGGTTTTAAAAAACCGCAAAAACGCTATTACCTCAGTCGTTAACTCATGATTAATTCAAGTAGGCGCCCTCTAAACAAATTTCTTTTGCTGCGGTGGCGCACAAAGAGAAAGAAATACACTCACGCGTGATCTTAAGTTTACCATTTTTATACCATGCACATGATATACCAATTAAGTTTGCAACGAAGTTTGTAACACCCAGAAGAAAATGTCAGATACTCTATAAAATATGTATATAAATGATCAGCTGAGTCGGTTTAGCAATGTCCGTTCGCCCGTCTATCCATCCATCCATCTGTCCGTCTGTCTGTATATATGCAAACTAGTCCGTCAGTTTTTGTGTTATCGATCTGTAATTTTGTATACGTCCTTTTATAGGCAAAAAGTTGCTCATTTATTTGAACCGCCGATATCGGATCACTATAGCATATAGCTGCCATACAAACTGAACGATCAAAATCTATTTTATTTAAAAAAAAAATTTTTATTTAACAAAATATCTTAATCAGATTTCGCATGGATTATTGTCCAAAGAAACGCTATAATCGCCGTATAAATTTTTCAAATCGGACCACTATAGCATATAGCTGCCATACAAACTGTACGCTCAAAATAAAGATAAAGATCTTTTTATACCCTTTCGTGCCATAAAGATGCACTTGTGAAGGGTATTATAGCTTCAGTGCAATCGAAGTTAACGTTTTTTTTCTTACCATTTTATTTAAATATTTTTCTTCGCTTTATGTACTCCTCTATTATTACTTTGCCATTTGCTGCTAACACACACATATAAACATATGTACGCGTGTGCCTACATCCTCTTTAATTGTGTTGTTGCTATTGTTTGACGGCTAACTTATACAATGTAATCATTTACATGCCGGCCGCATGCGGCTTACTTGGGCGAGTTTGTGGCTTGAGTCTTTCAGGCAGCATGTGTTTTTTTTTTCTTTTTTCTTTTCTATTTTTTTGTTTGCGGCAAGCTGGCGTTTAACTGTAAGCCGTCTGTAGTTATTAACTGTACTTATTACCGCTGATTGTTATTACTCAACTGTGATTGTCGGTTGTAATGTGTAGCATGCGTCGTCTTTTGCAGCATTAATTTTCCTTCATTACTAAATAAAGACTTTTTAATTAATTTTCGCCGAAAATTTCCACAATGCGTATTTTTCTGGTAAACTTATATGTGGCTTTGCGTGTGTGCACCTTTGTGTATGTGTTGCCTATATGTGTATGTATGCGTTTACGCTTGTGACGGTATTTTTCTATGACATTAAGACAAATTAGTTTTAATGTACTGTTATTCGGCAATTAATTGGCTGATACGTCATTGGTTGTTTACCAATGCGCTGCCTACAAAGTGAGTTTTAACAGGGGAACAATTAAAACAACAAATATTTGTAAAAAATTGAAACCATAGAGTAAAATATAAAAAAGTCATAAATAAAAAATAAAAAAGGTAAAAATTAAAAATAAGTAAAACTATTTACGAAAATTAAAAAAAACAACGAAATTTATTTAAACTAAAAAAATAGATTTTTATCAATTAAAAACAAGACGCTAACTTCGGTTGCACCAAAGCTATAATACCCTTCACAATTACAAGGGTTCCTTACCTTCCTTCTGGGTGTTACAAAGTTCGTGGCAAACTTAATATAACCTGTTCAGGGTATAAAAATATAGTTTCATTTCAATTTCATTAAAAAAAAAATAATTGCTTTTAAATTTTAATATTTTAAAATACAATAATATAAATAAATTAAATTTTATTTTTACATTTTTTCTTATAATTGTTAATTCAACTAAATTTAAAATATTTGGGGAAAAGTGAGTTTAAGAAATTATTAATAAAATTATTTTAGCAGAAACTAATTAAATAAAAATAGAGTAAAGTAAAAAATTTATTATAAATAAAAAACACAAATTTTTATACAATTTAAAAAAAAAGTTAGTATTATTAAATATAATAATAATAAATATTTCATAATTTTTTATTACACATACAGAATTTTTGTAATATTTTTGCTAAATAAAAAATATGTAATGAAATAAAAAATTTTACAAAAATATGAATTTTATAAAAATTTTAATTTTTATAAATTTTCAATAAACTATTTTAGCAAGAAGTAAAAAATAATAAAATAAAAATATAATGAATTATAAAATTATTGTATATAAAAAATAATATAAATTTTATAAAAGAACGATTAAAAGAAGTTATAAAACTTACTTAAGAAAGCTGAAAAAACATAATAAACAACATTTCCGAAATTTAAATAAAATTAAAGTAATTGTATAGTTATATGAATAGAATAAATGATTTTAAAATTAACAAATATAATTAAGAATTAATAGTAAAAGTCTTTTATAAATAGAAAAAAAACTTAATAGAATAAAAAAAAAATTAAATAAAAAAATTTTTTTTGACAAAATTTATTTAAGAAAAATTTAAAAAAAAATAAAAAAAGAAATATTAAAAAAAATGTATTTTTTATAGCAAAAGTCTTTTAAAAGATGAATAGAATAAAAACAAGTAATTATAAAATAAAAACATGTATTTTGAAATAATTTATTTAAGATAAATTAAAAAAAACATTAAAAAAAGCAAAAATTACAAATTTTTATAGTAAAAGTCTTTTATAAATTGAATAAAAAATTAATAGAATAAAAAAAATGACAAAACAAAAAAATTACTTTAAAAACAAAATTGATTTAAGAAAAATAAAGCATTCCAAAGAGGAAAATTGAAAAAAAAAATTATTTTTATAATAAAAGTATTTTTTAAATTGTATTAAAATTAATAGAATAAAAAAAAATTATTAAATAAAAGCATGTGTTTTAAACATAATTAATTTAAAAAAATTAAAAAAAAAATAAATATTAAATAAAGAGAAAAGTTTATTTGTTATAGTAAAAGTATTTTATAAGTTGAATAAAAATTAATAGAATAAAAGGAATTACAAAATAAAAAAATCAGTTTTTAATAAAATTGATTTAAGAAAAATTAAAAATTCCAAAGAAAAAAAATTAAAAAAAAGAAAGATTTTTTTTTTATAGTAAAAGTCTTTTATAAATTGAATAAAAATTAACGAAATAATTAATTAAATAATTATGAAACAATATAAGTGTTTTTAATAAAATTTATTTAAGAAAAATTAAAAAAGAAAAAAATTTTGTTTTTCGCATATTAAAATTAAAAAAGAAATACTCAGAATTAAATAATATTAAAAATATATAATAAAAACTTTTATATATGTATAAAAATATATTTTAGCGAAACGCAAGTAAGTAATATTAAAAAGCTTAATAAATTTGTAAAAAAAAAATATTTTGGGAAAAAGTAATTGAACAATATTAGTAATAGAACTTAAAATAATAATTATCAAATAACAATTAAAAATTTAATAAAATTTATTTAACAAAAATAAAAAAAAATGAAACAATGAACAATTCAGCCAAAAAACAAGGAAAAACGTTAACTTCGGCTGCACTGAAACTTCACAGGTGCACAGGAACTAGTGCGCATATATACAAACACACAGATGGAAATGGCTAAATCGACTCCGCTCGTCATAATAATCATTTATACATACATATATTTTATAGGATCTCCAACCCTATTTTAGTAAAATAAAAATACACAAAAACTTAAAATGCATTTTTTTGCGAGCCAAAACTTACAAAATATAAAACTAATGTAGGTCAATAAGGAGTTTAAAACAATATGTGGGCTGACATCACCAAGGGTCAGCTGCCAATATTTGATTTGGCTTCATCAAAAGCAAGCGCTCAACATAAAGATAAATGAAATAAATATAAAAAAAGATTTAGATCAAACTATGCCACAATGTAAAACGAGAGAGCGAAGTAGAGAGATAGCGTAACTGAGCAAACGATAGGGAGCGCCACTGCTTATTCCCAACTAAAAGATGACACACACAAAAATCTGTCGCACGGCATGCGGTTGCTCATACAACGTGGCGGCCAGGTCGTAGCACACCAAAGTTTCGTGTATAAAAACTAACGGCATAGTTGTATTAGGCATTAGTCGTGCAATTGTCGAAGCGGCGAACGGTTTATAGTGACGCGTATTGTTTACGATTAGTTAACGTTTAAATATACGCGCTGTAACTGGTAAAAGGATAACAAAGGATTTATGTAACGTTACAATTAGCGCAAAGCGATAGTACAGTAAAGAGTAAAATATTTCTATTATAAACGCGCAGTGATGAAATTCTTTGTAAGTTATAGTGCGAATGAGCAAAAATTTAAGGAAAGCATTAATTAAGACCACAGTTAAAGAGAGTAAATTCATTTACATAAAAAATAGTGCAGAAAAATATAGAAAAAGTGCCGCAAATTACAAAACCGTTATTTATGAACTAAAAAAGGAAGTTACTGCAAATAAGATGCATTAAATGAAAAAAAAATTTTTATATAAAAATATTAAAAATCCATAAAAAACATTTGATTTCAGCAAATATTGTGCAGTTAAAATTAAAAAACAAAAAAAATATTTATAAAAAATAATAACTCACCGCTTTTGACTATCTCCAGGTTTTCTACGGCGCCGCCGTGGTGCTGTTGGTGGTCAACGCCTGCGCGTCCGCTTCATCAAAAGCTGAACCGCGTATCAGCGTTGCAGTGAAGCCGAAACGTGAAGCATCACTTTCCAGCAGCTATCATGGACCATCCTATAAGTACTTACCGCCAGCACCTGCTTCGGTCGGCATCAACGCCGGCGGCTACAATACTTACAGCAGTCATGGCAGCAGCTCTGCTGGTTTCGGTGCAAGCGGTAGCTCTGGCTTAGGTTATGACTTTGGGCACTCAAGCGCGCCTAAAGTTGAAACATATATTGTGCAAACAGAGCCCACGCATAGCGTACACAGCAGCGGCAGCACAGGATACAGCAGTGGCAGCAGCAGCAGTCATCACTATAATGCTCATGGTAGCGCGAGCGTCGCTGGTGGATATCGTTACAGCAACAGCGCGCCACACTTCGCTGCTGGTGGCGCATCCTTGCTGGGTTATAGTGGTGTTAGCGGCGGCGGCAACTACAAGTATCACACCAGAGCGCGTCCACACGTGCAAACATTGATAATACCGGCCAATACATTAACGCATGGCGCAAGTGGCGGCAGCAGCGCCAGTCATGGAATTGGTTTTGGCGGTGCGCACGTATTACATTCCAGCAGCGGCAGTTTTGGCAACGGCGGTTATCAGTACGAACCTACATTTGGCAGCTCATTGCATTCATCAGCGGGTAGTGGTTTTGGTGGTGCGCATGGTTCCGCTTTTGCTGGCAGTCACGGCAGTGGTGGCGCAACTTTTGGCGGTCACTCGAGCGGTAGTCTTGGCGCACATGGCGGCAACTCAGTTACTTATAATTCACAGCAAGGTTACAGTTACAATAGTAATGATGCTATTAGCGGCGCCGCAGTTGCTTTGGGCCATAGTGCTCATGGCGGTCAACTTGGTCATGGTGGTAGTGGTGGCGCAACGGTTTCGTTCAACAATCAGGATGGTTATAGCAATCAAGAATATGCGCATAGCACGCCCAGCATACCATCGACAAATTATGGCGTACCAGCTGGTCCGGCGGTATCGTCATATCACGGCGCTGCCGATGCAGGTAACTCATATCATAGCAGCGCTGACGAAACACCCGCCTATGCGGTAGGCCATAAGGGATTGGGATATTTTAGCTTTAGCGCCAGCAAACCACATGCTTTGAATACCAATTTTAATTCTGCCGGCAGTTCCGGTCACAGCGAACACAGCGGCAGAGCACCATTTAAGCCATCCACTCTTTTGGGCACCACTTATGAGGTCTCCGGTCCGGCCGCGCAATATTTGCCACCTACATCACCTGGTTACGAGTATCAGTCGCATACTGTATTGCAGGGTGGCGCAGCTGGCGCTGCAGCTGGGCATATAAATGAGCCGAATTCTGCATACTTGCCACCGGTTTCAACACCTGGCGGTAGCTATTTGTCGCCTCATCATTAAAGAGCGCGTCCATCCCCATCAGGAAAGTTTAGCTCACGGTGTTCGAGAACTACATCACTACTCACTTTTTATCGCTGCTTCTTATTTATTGACAGCTTACCGAAATTTCTATGTAAATAGTTTTAAATGTCTTTTTTTATTTTTCACGGATAAATATAATATATAAATAAACATATAAAATATAAAAAATTAGGCCAAGGCTTATATTGACAGTAACTCAGGCTTATTTTCATATGATACTCAGCTGAATATGAGCTGAATTCGAATGAAACTAGAAATGATGATAAATAGCACTAAGGTGGTATAATAAACTTGATCATTTTATTTTATTTGCAGCTGAATACGCGCTGAATTGCATATTTTACGAGCTTAAATGCTAACTAAAATTATAATCTTAGTAGTTCTCGTTATTAGCACAAACCTTTTGCTGTATATGCGCTGAATTGCATGTGAGGTACAAATAATTAGAAAACACTTCAAAATTAGTTTAATGTGCTCATAACTGTATTTATCTATTAGCATAGTAGCGCTGAATTTCATTTTTTCAATAAACTATCTAATGAAATACGCCAGTATTTATTTATAAGTATTTTTCATGCATGGCAAATACGCTGAATCGCAGAAGAAGTAACTTAAGTGTTGAAATAAATACTTTGCTGAATATATGGTGAAAGAAACGAAAATTTAGCACCATTTAAACACCTTATAATTTGCTAATAACTGCAATTAATAGCGCTGAATTGCTTTTTTGCAATAAACTATTTAATAAAATATGTCAAGATTTATTTATAAGTATTTCTCATTCACAAAAAAGGGGTTGAGTTGCTGAATAACTAACTCAAATTTTAAATAAATACTTTGCTGAATGTGTGCTGAAGGAAACGAAAATTTAGCACCAATTAAATAAATTTAACGCAAGTAAAAACTATATCGGTTTGCTGAGATGAGTAGCTACGTGGCTGATTGTGCGCTTATTTCGATAAAATTCATTAAAGCATTTTTTTTAACATAATTAAAGTTCGAAAATTCGCTTATATTTTCTCTTATTAAGAGCTGTTTTTAAACTTATATATAGCATGCATGTGATAAATGAAATAAGAGTTATAGTATACTTTTGCTGAAGCTCTTTTCTGTTAAAATTCATATTTTTTTTATAAACTGCTAATAATCATGACAAAACGGCAAGCTGAATATGCGCTGAATTCATAAGATTCATTATAGTAGGCGCAAACATTGTACGTATTACTTTTTTATATAATTGAAAAAACGCAGTTATTGCGCTGAATTGCATTAACTCTTTGCAGCAGTGTTTACATAAAGTTTTTTTCAAAAATTATTTTATTTCAAGCAAATTAGAGCTTGTTTTAAACTTTCTGCGTTGCTGTCATTTTAATATATTAATCAATGTAAGTGTTGTAAATAATATTGAGCTGAATAATAGCTGCAAACTACAAATGATATTCAGCGTGGATTTATTCCTGCGCTAACGTATTAAATTTATTTAAAATATATTTTACACACAAAATGTTGCGCTGAATAAAACAAAGCGCTGAATTTAAATTTTTAGCAACTCACCACCGATAAACTTTTTGCATTATCGTTTGCTAAAAATATTTAAAGTTGCGCTGAATAAACTTTTAAGTTTAAATGGAATATTTTTTATATCTATTTGTTTTTTTTTTTTTATTGATTAATTTTATTTCACTTTTTTTTTATTTCATTTATTTTTTACAAAATCTGCTACAATTTGCTTATAATTTTAATGCTGCACATCACTCGACCCAAATCTGCGAAACTCTTAAACCATATATGTACAAGCATACCAAGTAAAGCTTTCAAAAATTGCCCCCAATTTGGGTTCACAACACAAATTACCCGTTAATATGCAATTACACAAGCATACTTATCTAATTATTTTAATTTTATTGCTTTTCTTCAAACCCATATCAGCCCAAATCCCACCGCGCATGCTTGCAAGAATTTTAAAATTTTCACCAAACACGCGCTTTGTAATTTTTTAATCAAATTTCGAAATTCAAAATCTACCAACGCCCCAACGACAGCATTGACATTTTAATGATGAGCTCGAATGAAATTGAAAGTTCAGTTGCGAGCCAAATTTTGCATACGCAATTGCGCGGTTGTCAGTGATGTGTCAGCTGCCAAATTGGCAAGCATCACCAAAAACACACACCCATATACAAATGTACATTAGAGTGATTGGGAGAAACAAAGCAGCGAAATTTATTGCCGAAAAATATATTAAAGTATTATAAAAGTGTATTAGCGTGCATGTGACACTTAAAAAGTTGGAAATTTTCAAAACTTAACCACCATTACATACACAAATAAATACTTTTCAAACAAGTAATTTTCCAAGGCAGTGATTTGCGTATCTGTCAACAAATTTTAAAGTCAGCAACCTTCGTGGTGTTAATGTTTTTCCTCTTGGATGTGCGTGGTATTGGTGATAACTTTCTGGCCTTGCAAATAATTGTTGTTGGTTGCCGTTGCTGCCAAGGCATGTGCACTGGAAGATCGTACGTGCGAAAAAATGCAGCAGATGTTCATGTGGCATTAGCCACATTAAGCAATACGCTTAATAGAAGTTATTTTAGCGTTAAAAAATGTAAAAGTGTGCGCTGAGTCATATTCAGCGCTGCTTTAGCAGACATACTGCGATTATTTCAATTGATTTTGCATTATTAAGTACGTATACAACTAACAGGCATGTGCTGAATTGTATTCAGCGGGGATTTAGCACACATATTGCTGTTATTTTAATTTATTTAGCGTATATAATGCACAGACATCAGCTGAATTGCATTCAGCAGTAATTTTAGCACAAATATTGCATTATTTTTTGCATTTATTAACCTTTTATAACCATCAAAACCTCGTACAATGTGCTGAATTGGATTAACTATTAGTTAAGTGGTTTTCCAAAACAAATATCAACAGGTTTTATAAACTTTTTTCATATATATTTTAAGAAATCAACTGCAAAAGTGCTATGCTGATTTTTTATAATTAAAGACTGTGTAATATTAATTTAACATTACTATATTAATATTAAATATTATTCCTTTTTAATGCAGCAAATAAATTGTAAATTACATTAGATAAAGCAAAATTTTTTTTTTCTTTTATACAGCGTTAATTAGTTAAACTTCAGCTTATTCAGCTCAATTCAGCACGCTTTATAACTTAATTTTTCATTTTGTTTTTCCTTTTACACAGCTACAGCTTATTCAGTTCAATTCAGTACGCTTTACAACTTAATTTTAAGTTTAATGCTTTCAAAATAGATATATATATAATACAATATATTAAACAAAAATGGATGTGAAAGAAATTCAGCTCAATTCAGCGCTTAGAAGGTGCACATTTTCTTGGATTATTTCATTATGGTGTTAACCTTCTTTGTATTCAGCGCCATTTAGCTAAGTAATAACAAATTCAGCACAATTCAGCACAGTTTACAAACTAATTTTTTGATTTAACTATGCTACAACATGTGCTTCAAGGCAACTTTTTTGAGTAGAATGTCTATTTTTTGGTTAATTTTCTTTTGGTTTAGATATAACAGGCACCTAATTGTATAATATAATATCTATGAATGAAAAAATGTATACTGCTTAATACATTTTTACTAATTACATTTTATTGTTGCTATTTTACATTAAGTGTTCAACTTACATAGTTACATATGTATGTATGTACATCAATTTGATATATGTTACTAAAAAATTTCCTTGCGGCTTTCGCTGCCAAGCTTTTCACTGCCATTGGCACCTGCCGCAAAATCAGTTGTTCAGCATTTTATTCATGTTTTGTTGGTGCAATAAAGTTTAGCGTATATACCATAATTACAAAAGCAATAAAAGACAGAGTACGCTGCAAATGATAGCACAGGCTACAAAGGAAGTTTTTCAGAAAAAAAAAAATATTACCTCAATTTGTTGCAAATACCATTACGGCTTGGCGAAAACTGTGATGGAAAAGTGACATAATGTGCGAAATTCGCGAATATGCCATGTAGCGAAGCGTATAAACAAATTTTTGGTATCATTCAACTTAATGTAGGTCTGTAGCTGGATTATTGAGCTCTGATTTTCTAACTTTAGCTTACGAGTTCAAATATAAATAGCAAAGCGGCGCTGCTTAAGATTCGATCGTCTTTGTTACGAAGCTCTAATAATATGTTACCTGTTCTATAACCAAAAAACTGAATCGATCTTATCGACACTAGCTCCAACTTCCTAGTTGTGAAACAGCCCGAAAACACGACATCGAAATTGAGGATAAAAACTTTCGAGTCCACCCTCACTGACAATCTTTAACTCTATGACAATCGTCCTTACACGTTTAGCCTCAGCAGTTAAGATCTCGTCTTCTACCCTTTCCGTAAGACAAAGTCTAGAAATATAAAGATTTCACAGTAAGACTGGCTGCAACCCCCGCTGGAGGGTATATCTCAAACGTGCTAGGATGAAAGATAATGAAGATATGGTGATTAATAGCCGTGTACTTCGGCTCATTGAAAAAAGAGTGCGCCTCAACAGAGTCTGAAGTAATTTCTAATCTCTAAGATATCTTGTCTAAAAGAACAGCAGGGACCATGGTTTTTACAGCAGCCAGAGTAACGGTATTGCCGCAGCATTAAAACATTAACTGCTACGACGAAAAATAATCTTGAAATAATTGGATGAGACACACATTGAAACACAAATGGCCAAAATATTCGGACGCACTGCTGAAATGTTAAGAATCAAAGTCTGACAACCCGAATCTGTTTTTTCAATAGAGCGAATCTTTACACAGAGTTCGCTCAACACTCATACCTGTTATTTAGGAATACTTTTCAAAAATGGCACAACAATATTAAGATCATCTGCGCTTAACGCACACAAACTAAAAAAGAAGTGCTTGAAATGTTGAGCGATAAGAAAAGTACCAATAGAAATGTAGAAAAAATGTACGAAGAGATTTAACGACACAAATCCAATATTCAATATGCTTAATTGATAACGGCATCAATTCATCAGTGCGCTGAATGCTTCAGACAACGAAATGTTAAGTGAAGACGGCAAAACCAAACCCAAATAGCGCACTAGCAATTCACGAGAAAGTACGGGCACTAACCATGCCGTTAGAGCTGTGAGGCTGCCGCGCTTAAAGGGAGCTAGGTGAGCTTATATTATTAGATGCGGTTGCGTCAATGGACACGGCATTAACATTCCATTACGAACCATTAGTTGGGTTGGCAACTAAGTAATTGCGGATTTCACTCATAGATGGCTTCAGTTGAATTTTTAGGTTGCATTACAGAGTAAAGTTATATAGTTCCATGAAAAAATTGTCTTTGATTTAAAAAAAAAAATCCGTAATTACTTAGTTACCAACCCAAGTTACACGATAAGCCTCGGCTAGGCACTCGCTAGCAAATTACTAGCATTCAAAGTGTTAAATTTAATGCAGATGAATGACGTCATGCACAGCTGATCACTTCCGCCGTCTGTTGTGTACAGTTCCAAACACAACTAAGCATAGTAACCCGCTTCCTCAACTTAACGCGCGTAAAAGCTATGAAGAGACGATCTTACTACGCTGCTGCTTTGCATCATATCACTATAACGGCACTCAATTGCTTTCGAAAGTGAATGTCGGCATTGTGGCATAAAATTTTTAAGGAGAATAACAAAACGAAATACAAAAAAATCATAATAAAACAAAACAAGTGGATTACAAAGACACAAAAAGCTTAAATAATAATCAAAACAAAAAAATAAATTAAAAATATACGCGAGTAAAATTGATAATATAAAAGCAGCAACACAAGTGAGGCATAAGCCAATGCAGCGATAATCAAGCGACTTAAACCTAACAAAAGCCAACTTTACATTGGCAGCTACAAATTACCATTTCAACAACCAAAAAAAATACAAAAATAAATCAAAACTCCAAAAATTACTTTTAATGAAAGTAGTTAAGCGTTTTTATTAGAGACAGTTTAATCTCATGCATCACCTAGCTGTGTTCACTTTTATAAACCATTTGGTGTACCTACAGCAAAATCAGCAAATTGCCGCTTGTACTTAGATAAATTGATTAAAAGCTTGTTCGATGCAGTCAAGCGAGCGCTGTTGCATGACAGTTAGCGCATAACGTTATACGGCAATAGTTACCGGCTTATTCAGCACATTTAGCAGCGGTATTTAAAAAGCTTGAAATCTTTGCTGCATATATAGAAGTAAAAGATATATCTAAAAGCCAGTAATCAGTTGCTAATACACATTCAGCACTTTCAGCGTGAAATTGTATGTGCGCAAATTATATTCAGCACACAAACGGTTACATTAGTATCCATTGTAGCATATTCAGCGCATTTATTTCGTTAAACTTGTTTTTCAACATTGATATTGGTTATTTTTCATAAGTGAAAGTAACGGCAAAATCAAAAATTCTTTTTTACAGCATATTTAAAGGTATAAAGTATATTTAGAAGCCAGTAATCAGTTGCTAATATAAATTCAGCACATTCAGCCTGAAACTCTACGTAACCAAATTATATTCAGCACACAAACGGTTACATTAATATCAACTGTAGCTTATTCAGCGCATATATTTCGTTAAAAATTGTTTTTCAACATTGATATTGGTTATTTTTCATAAGTGAAAGTAACGGCAAAATCAAAAATTATTTTTTACAGCATATTTATAGCTATAAAGTATATATAGAAGCCAGTAATTAAATTCTAGAATGAATTCATAACACTCAGCGCGAAATTCAGCGTGCCCAAAATACATTCAGTGTACATATTATTTCAATCAGAGCAGTCTTAACTTATTAAGCTCATAACTAATATACATATTTGTAGATTTATGATTTTTTCATACTTCAGTAAATTCAAAAACACACTTTTTCAGCTAAATTGCTGCAATATTTTCGTTATTCAATGCAGCTGTACGCTGAAATTCAAATTCAGCTTACTACTTTGTAAAATTAAAAATATTTTTGAACATATATTGTAATGTTGACCACATAAACGTAGTTAGTTTGCACGTTCAGCGCGCTTGCATATAGCAAAAACTTATTCAGCGCTTACTTTGAGCTCAAATATGTGATTTCTTTAATGATTTTTAAGATTTGCGACGAATTCAGCGCTTTTACTTGCTCTAAACACTAGCTCAACACACTTATTACATAACCAGTATATCAAATTTCTTTATAGCAATAATACGCTTCCTTTTTTAGCTATCAGGAAATTATCATTTCGAAATGTAGCAACATACATCAAAAGCTTGTTGTTTGGCTGTGTGCTTTAAGCTTTCTATCTACGTCTACTTTTAGGCGATTTTTTAATTTACCAAAAAATATTTTCAAGTTTTCACACAGTTGTTTATCAAAGTGGCAGCGATGTGACACACATTCAAGCTAATGTACACTTGCGTGCAAAAATACACAGTTGTGTAAACAAATAAAAGCAACAGCAAAAGTCGTCACCATTGAACCAGTTGGACGACTTCAAACAAAACAGTTATTAAATAGTAATGCGACAAACAGCACGGTTATCATTAGTAAAATGCCACAATACAAGCAGTGATGGCTTGGATAAGCAAGTTAACTGTATATGCCGCTCGTCACAGCCGATTCGCGTAGCATTGCATGACGAACGTTGAACTCATGGTATCTACGAAAATTAAGCGGTCGCCGATCGGGAAGCAGGTAACGTTTTATGTTTGTTTTATATAGGTATGTATATATTAGCTTGGCTTGAAAAATAATAGAATTTGGTTAATAAAAATTATGTGCGCACCGAACAGCATTAATGAAAAGAGATAGCTATATCATATGCTACAAGTATATGCAAATCAAATTTTTCGAACTGCAGCCATGTCTAGTGTACATGTTTTCGTAAACAAAATTTGACTTTTCGAGAACCCAGAAGCCAAATACATACAGGTTGGTTGTAAAGTCTCAGCGCTCGATATGAAAGAATACTGTTTTTGTTACGAAATATATTTTTTTATTCAAAATAATCTCCCTTAACCTCAATACACTTATGCCAATGATCCTGCAATAATTTTATGCCATCACTATAATGACTTCCCGGAAGCTCTGCTATAACCTTCTTTGCTGATCGTTGTGACTTCACCCGTTTTGGAGCTGAACAACCGGCTTCAGTCCGATGTAAACGTTCTTGTTTCAATTTAGGATCATGTTGGTAGAACCAGTTCTCATCCATTGTTATAAAATGACGCAAGAAATCGGTTTTATTCCGCTTAAAACGCTACAAATTATGCTGAGAAATTTGTTTTCGTTGCAGTTTTTGTTGAATTGTTAACGTGTGCGGCACCAACTTTCCAAACAGCTTTTTCATATGTAATTCTCCATGTAAAATATGAAATACTCGTTCGTCTGAGATGCCTATAGCATTAGCAATTTCACGCTTAGTCAAACTTGTTGCTTCACCAACAATATTATGCATTTGCTCAATAATTTCTGGTGTGGCCGCGGTTTTTGATCGTCCTTTGCGTGGATCATCTTCAAGCATAGTACGGCCACGTTTAAATTCACCAGCTCAAAATTCAACCGTGCGTTTTGAGGGTGAGAACTCCTTATGCACTTCTAACAATTGTTCATAAATTTCCTTTGCTTTTAAACCTTTCAAGGCAAACCATCTAATCACTGCGCGATATTCAATTTTTTCCATATTAAAAAAATACTCTATAACTACTTTGTAAACAAAAAATTAATTGACAGAAGGACTTGTAACTTTGCATGTGAAAAGAAAAAAAGTTTGGAGCTAGTAGCGCTATTTCTTGGTGAGACCAACCGACATTTCAACCAAACTGTATGTTGACGCCAGTGCGTATGGCTGACTTTCTTAGATATTTTATTGAAATTTAGCGAAAATGTTGTTTTTTTTTTTGATAATAATAAACGCTTGTGTCAAAAATGGGTTAATTCAGATCAATACTTCGCCATATATGGTACATATCTATAATAAAGATTTTCGAAGTTCCAGTTCGAAGTTCCAGTCCAACTTTATACCATATCTAACGGCCAATAGTATGTGAATCATTTTAATGAAATTGAGAGAGCGTATTTTCTAATGACAGCATATCTTTGTGCCTAAAATGTATAAAATCGGACGAAAACTTGCCTTAGCTACCATACAACGGATATTCAGAATTTTCAAACGTTTGACTAACTTTACTCCCTATACTTGTTTATGTTTATATTTATCGTATATATTTAGAAAATTGCTTGAAAACAAGTACTCAAATATAACGGAACAATGTCAAAAATTAATGCAATCAGCGCTTCTATTTCTCTCCCACCCAATATAGCTCATATAATGATTTCCGACTTTCCACCAGATATATATTATAAATTTCGTTTAGTTTTTTAGACACAGCACCAATTAAAAGACTTCCGGAAATATTATATTTCTGCCTGCGCACAGCTGACATTGGCCATGAAATAAAGTCATTTGGTACACGCACAAACAAACATACAACTTGTTATGCATTTTTTACCGGCTTTTGTTGCGAACAGCGCACACTCCACCAGTTCCAGTTGGCTTCTGCCCGAACGGGAAATGAAGAAAAGTGTGAAAATTGGTGAAAATATAATATATGAGGAATGGTTGTTGTAATCAAACATATTACAGCACAACTTGAACATAAACACAGCAGTTTGACTAAATTTATGTTTGGCTTATAAAAGCGGCACGGCTAAAGACTTGCGCTGTTAAATAAGCGATGAAGGCCGTCAGGAGCGTTATTAAGCGAGTGTCAGTCAAGAAAGTGCAGTGATATAAAGACGCATAACGGTTACGCAAAAATAAAAAATAAATAAGAAGTATATGTGTATAAACCAGAGCAGATAATTTATCAAAACTACGATTTGTAGTGAAAAATCCGAAACGTAAGCCAAGACAATGCACACTGTAAAGACCTTTGTTTGAGCAGTAATCGCAAAATTAATGTGAAAATAATTGAAAAATAAGTAAAAACGTCAACTGCTGTTGCACCGAAGCTAGAATACCCTCCACAAATATAGAAGTATACATACAAGAACTTGATTTTGATATGTCAGTTTGTATGACAGCTATATGCTATAGTGGTCCGATCTGTAGCATTTGTATGGAGATTATAGCGTTGTTTTGGATAATAATCTATGACAAATGTCGTAAAGATAACTTTTCAAATAAAAAAGTTTTTCATATAAGGACTTGAGTTTGATCGTTCAATTTGTATGACAGCTATATGCTATAGTGATCCGATATTGGCGGTTGCTGCGAATAATCAGCTTCTTTGCGGGAAAAAAAGAACGTGTGCAAAATTCTAGGTTGATATCTCAAAACTAAGTTCGCGTATCTACACACAGACGGACGGACAGACTCAGCTCATCACGCTGATCATTTATATATGTATATATTTTATAGGGTCTCCGACGTTTCCTTCTGTGTGTTACAAACTTCGTGGCTAACTTAACATATACTGTTCAGGCTCGAATTGACAGACTCAAATAAATATCTCAGCAGCAGTGCGCTCTTGTGTCTCTCAAATTTCAATATTTTGGTAAGGAACAGGCAAGGGTCCGACTAAAAAAAAAACATCCGTAATAAATTATAAAAATCGAATACTGTGTATAACCCTATATCAGTCACCGTTGGACCAGACTGTTCAAAGAGATGTCTATATTTGTATTACAATGAAGAATTGATCCCATGGGAGTGTATGTAAGCTGCGGGGATAATTTTTTTTTGCAGCTTTCCATAACCATAAAATAAATTTGGAAAAAATGTTGGTCCACCGAATAAGCAGTTAGTTACTTAAAATTTTTCTAAGTGTCATTTTTAATAACGGTTCGTAAGCTGGTTGAAGGACTATCGTCTCCTGCTCTGAAACCGGTTATCTTACGTGTTGAAAACGTACTTGACAAGTCTTCAATAACTATAATTGACAATTTCAGATCCATTTTAGGGTATTACAATCTATATAAGAATTTCTCACGAAGCAGCTCAATAGCTTTGAAGCCTCTTGTGAAGACAGGTAGTAAATATTCAACTACAGATGCATGAATTCAAATGCCGCAATTATTAAGACACAAACGGTACTTGTAAAGCGTGTTTGAAGTGCTCACACATATTTGGAAAACTGCTAGCACACATTTTATAATTATTTCTAAAAACCATAAACTAATTGAATTTAAGTAACCACTCAATTTCTCAATTAGATGCAACGTGGCGTGCTCACCTTGGGTAGATCCACACAGATCGCACATAAAACGCAGGCGCTACTATTCACGCTCTTAATTTTCTACACCACCACACGATCAGATGCCAATCCTGTCTCCATACCCGAAATAAATGGCAAATCTAGTAAAAATATTGCCGGTTCATCTTCAAACGCCGCATTGCTGATCAAGCCGAGCCCACAAGACGCCCAATTGAACTCGCTGAATGCCTATGCTACCAACTACGGACACTTTGCCGCACAATTCTCTAATAATCCAGCACAAGGTGGCAACACTAACCCCCATGCAGATAGCAGCACGAGCAGTCACACAAATAGCAACCACTTTAAGGCATCTTTTAAATTGCCCGATGTCGAGAATAATTTTACACCATTACAAACATATAATAACGGTAATAGCATGCCGCGGCATGCGGCGCCTTCAACCACAATTGCCGGCACGCCGAATGCCAATAGCATTGCCAGCAATAACATACCACAGCCCACACCAGTTCTAATGCAATACCTGCCACACGTAATGCCGGAAGCTGGCGTACAATATCTGCAATTGATACCGACGCGTCCGCTTATTGTGCCCATAAGTCCGTACTTGAATGGCAATGCACCACCGGCTGTAGCACAAAATGCCGCCAATGCTGCAGCGCATGCGCTACACCCACCATTGGCGGCCGCCATCAATGCTGCACCAATGGATTATGGCGCCCGTTCACCGCCTATGCTAGCAGCGGAGCCCATTAATAGTCAACAACATGCTGCCGCGACTGCCGCTATGATAGACATGTCGAATGCAGCGCCACCGCCGCCATACGGTATACACACATACGCGAATGCCTTACAACCGTATCGCAGCAGCTATCGCATAAATCGTGAGGCGAAGGGTAAGAATTTTCCCGGCACACTGACACTCAATATGAACGAATATATACCGGGCCCCAATGAGACTCTGCGACCGCTATATATGCGCGGCAGACCGTGAGTTTATTTTTGTAAATTAGATAAGCATTACCATACATATGATGGTTAGTAATAAAAAATATACGGTTTTGAAATGATTTTTTAATCTTTATATAACGGCGCTTCTGAATACAGTGTGGTTTAGTTTTCGAGCTATCTGCGTTATATGACGATTATTTGTTTGATAGCTGTGAAGCAGAACTGTCAGCTGACACATATTATATTATATTTATAGCGCTTGTATTGATGACATCCAACGCCTCAGAACGACGAAAGGACACAATTTGAACTCAGACACATCGAGCACGGTCATTCAAATAAGCTACCGTATATCAAGGTTTTGTATCTGGATAAACTTGGGTACTTAGTGTTGAGTAAGAGTGAGACGCACGATGAGGCTCTTTAGATTCGGTTTTCTCCAAATAAGAAGACCCTACTATATTAGAAAAGCTGGTAGTAACTTGGAAAAAAAATATCGCACCTAAAATTTAGCACTTTCAGAAGTTCTATCGATGGAAAAATGCTTTGACTAAGAGCTTTTTTACTCCATGTGGTTAATATCTAAGATATAGAGATATGGAAGTCATAAGTTGTTTATTGTCTTGGAGTTCCCCCAACATATTTTCAAAGGTTGATACTAACTTTTTACTATAAAAATTTGCCGATCCATAAAATAATCAAGGATATGTGTATTATAATGTAATATTCGAAGAGAACTATGTTAAAAGTAGACTGTTATTGCTGCTTTCAAAAGTATTGGATACATCGTTTCAAATTCCAGTTCTGACAGCCTAAAAGGACATACTCAAAGTCTGCTGTTTTGTTAAAAACAAACTGAATATTAAGTCTAGTAAAAAGATTTACATTATTTTTGAAGTAAATTGAAGGTTTTGTTTAACATAAATGTCCTATGATTTTTGTACGATAACTTGTTGCCATTTTAAAGGTAATTTCATAATGCTACACTCATAAAACCTTCGCCACTATTGAGCTTCTCTTGAGGCGAATTTCTCATAAGCAAAATCACTCATCACATACAGTAGTACGCAGTAATTACTTGGTGCCAGGCCCAGACCAAGGTGGATACATAAGAATCTCCCAACCCTCCCGCAGTTTCTATTGTATTGGTGGAGCACAATTCTTCTCCTATTAGCTAAAGCTGGTGAACTGTCTGAGAAGCTTTTTTAGCACTAAATCTTGTCTTCCTAGCGCCACATATCGTAAGCCGGTCGCACTTATACAACGTGAGATACATATTATAAAGCCATCTATTGAAAAAATAATGGATTTCTTTTTACCAGCCATACATATGTAAGTATATATGGATATGAAATATTGTATAGGTCAGTTTGTATGACAGCTACAGTGGTTCGATCTGATTGATATGTTCGGAAATGTTAACATTACCTTGGACAATAATCTATGCCTTATTTCGAAAAGATATCTTGTCTAATAAAGAAAAGTTTTCCATGAAAGAACTTGATTTGGATCGGAAAGTTTATACGGCATAAATATGCTATAGTGGTATAGAGGTATCGATATCGGCGATCAGCGAGAACGTGTGTACAATTTTAGACCGATATCTCAAAAACTGGAAGACTAGTTTACGTATATTCGGACAGTCAGAAAAACAGACTAAGCTAAATCGACTCAGCTCGCCACGCTGATCTTTTACATGTACTGCAATAGAAATCCTCATAAATCTGCAATCGGTATAATATATTTACAATCGATTTATACTTGAAACGAAAACCAACCGTATATTGATATACGTTCTCTGGTAAATAAACCAATCTGTAAGTCAGCTTTTACACACAGATTCTTTTGACCCTCGTTTTCGGCAAATTCTCTTTTGGTGTCGCTCTGTGCATTCACCCAGTCGAAAAGAGTCCAGCAACTCGAGTCTAGTTTTCTGCATTCCTTTTCACAAAATTTTCGTAAATATTTGTGCGGTTCGACTGCGCAACACTTAGAGCGTGCTGCATATTTCATTTGTATGTTGAGATGATGGTCACACATTTTGCTTGTAATGAATTGCCATGAATATGGTAGAACAATATGTATATTTATATTTTTTTGAATTCCCTAATCCACCAGAATGTATTGAATATTCGCTACTAATATGTTCAAGGCCAAATTTATAACAGGAATTTCCTAATCTTTAAGTATTAAAAATTCATAATTTCTTTACTCCGTATTAAATATTCATCATTTCTTTACTCCATAATCTATATCTTAATTTTCTCCTTATTTACAATTTTTCAAAATATTTCTAATATTATATGCATACATATTTGCATATCACATACAAAAAATAGATAGCAGAATTCAAATTTGTGAACGAATTGATTTGAAACAGAGCGCTCTTGCAACCATTCAAAGAATTTGAACGTGAAAAGGAATGCTGAAAAGGGTAGCACGAGCTGTTACGAACAAGAACACAAAGCGTGCCACCCAACGAACAGTGGCACGTCCCTTCGTCTTTCCTCGTCGTCCCTTGCCTACAATAAACCGGTTTGGATTACAAAAGAATCTGTGTGTAAAAGCCGACTAGGCGTCCATTTCTTAACATTGTAATGAGCATTATTTTCTCATTTTACACTCAAATGCTCTATTCCACTATTTTGAGTTCCCTGATGTTAATTGTGGCAAACACGCTCATCGTTTTCAGCATCGTAAAGGGAGTGAGAGCATGAATCAGCGATCGATGTAAGCAAATGCACAGCTGAGAGGGTTCATGGAGAACATCAAGTCCGCCTAGGGGTTGAGTTTCTATTGACACCAAGATGGCCGACTTTTAACCGGAAAATAGTTTGCATCTTGCTATTTTCTCTTAATGTATGAAAAAGTTGTCCAAAATATTGATTATATGTAAAACTTTAATATGTTTTCAAAATAAAATAAGTTTATTTTAATATATGTTCTTAAAGACGGCTATTATTGGCAAATTCTAGAATACTTACGATATATATTTATGCCTTTTTAACTGTGTAACTAATAAATATTCACCACAGAAATATGTAAGGTGAAACAACAACCATGTCAAATAACAGGATGCAGAAAATGCTTATTCAAGAAACTAACGGCAATGTTTATAAATTTTCAATACAATCTTCGTAAGATAATGAATATTTCATATTGTTCTGATAAACTGCTCACACAAGAATTTTTATCAATGAGCAGGTGTTATGATAATGCGTTTGACTAAAAGTTGTTAATAATTCAAATGCCAGTATTGCTATTGAGCATTGCATAACAGTGTTGCGCAAGCTAATTTTATAATACTTTTAAAAATAAATATATCTAGTATTTTACACCTATAAATGTTTTATACTATAAAGATATTCGCTTCAACAAATAATTTATTTAGGAGACTATATATTTGAAAACTAATTTAGAACTATATAACAATATGTGTTTATGTAAAGAGTTATATGTAAAATATTGTACATATTATAATGGCTACTGTGAAATACAGAGACAACTACCTGATATGCCTACCGTATTTCATACTGTAAAGATATTGCAACTTAAAAATAATTTATTTTAGAATATATATATTTAAAACTAACTAAGAACTATATAATAATATGTATTTTGTATGTCAAAAGTTGTAATAAACTATTGTACATATATCCACCATTAATTGCTGATATATAAACGTAAATAAAATTTGTGATTAAATAAATCTATATTTTAACTAGAGCACTAGTAAAGTTTCTTGATATAATACAATGATAAATTTGCTTTATTGTTTAAATGAATTATTATGACTTGTATTTCAATAATAAGTTTTGCTTTTTTGATTATATAAATTATTATTACATATAGCATCAAATTTTGTTACAATATTTTCTTCCCGTCCACTCATAGTTAATTGAATTTTCAGTTGCCCATTAATAAGTTATTTAAAATGTTAAAATATGCGCATTTACCTATATCAACATGGTATGATATTATATATTGTTAGCATTAAACATCAATTAATAACCAATATTTAAAATATTTATAAATAATTATTTAGGCGTTTTCTTATGCCAACCCGTTTTAAACCTCGCCATCCTAACTCACCATGGCCGCCATGTTGGTTTTATTGTGAACAACGCCTCAGGTGGCGAAACTACTGTGAATGGGACTTTCCCTACTCCTTATACCATAGAATAGCCAAGGATAATGATGCGGACTCTTTAGCATCGAGAATGATCAAAACCCACATTTTTATAATTTGAATCATGCCACTGTCGAACGAAATGGATTGGTATTATAAAAACTTGGGGTATTTTGCATTTCGATATTATTTTTAGTTTCCGTCCCCAAGTATATATAACGCATATACATCCCTATATACTTGTATTTATATTATAAAATTTTTAAAAATGCATAACATAAATATATAAATAAAAATTATAACAAAGAAACAATACAGTCATAATAAAATATCATGGTTTATAATGAACGTTTTAAATTAAATTAACAAATAAAATTTAGTTGCGTTATTCAAAGTATTTGTGTCGTTCTTTTCGCACTGCTTTTGTTAGCTATTTTAGCGGGTTTATTTCTGGCATCCCGCCTTTTGACATCAGCTGTTCGAAATTCCCTGATTTTAATAATCAGGAAGAGAATAACAGAAAAATCAGCGAAAATGAGAGAGTCTCGCATCATTCATCCGGAATAGCGTGAGAGTACAAAGCGAATAAGTTCATTTTATTAAACTTGTTGTGTTGAACAGTATATCTTATATAATATATCCGTAAGTATGTATATACAAAATATATAACTAAATATTAAATTATCAGAAAGCATAAGTTTACTCATTTCGATTATTGTTTCTACACTTATTGCATATTTAAGAACAAAAGAACAGTTCTTATGAACATTACAATTACTATGCATTCTGCCGAGACCTCATCCGGTCTGACGCAAAGTATGAGTCAACATTTAGAGTGCTTATAGCTCAAACAGTCACCGACATTCCTCCCTTCCGTACTTCAGCTGATAAGACCTATCTATGAAAGTGCAATGTAAATAAACACTCACCACCATGGATAAAATGATCCGAAACTCTTGATTTGAGAGAGCACCAAAGATCTACATATTTTATAACATTTGACA